AGAGCATCCCTGATTTTACTTGTTTTATATCTGGGAATTTAGTACATAATTTTATTGAGTCCATAAAATATTTGGAAGCTATTCACCTGGTATATTCTATTCATTTATTTTTAAACGTGGAAACAACCTGAGATAAGGCAATTGAATTGCAGAGGGGGAAAAAATCTCCAGGTCATTGGCAGAATTTCTAAATTCAAAGTGCACTTTCTAGCTAATGAATGAACCATGTCCCTCCTGATTCTGTCACTGGATTAACTGACTGACTTTAGATGTATTGTTTCATTTTCTCTGCTTGTTTCCTCACCAGCAAACCGATGATGGGTCTTTAAGCCCAGCTAGTATCCTTGGATGGTGAATAAGAAAGATATAGGGTAACTAAAAAAAGAAAACAGAGTTCCTGTGGGGTGTGATCTGAGCTGAGTCAATACAAATTCATTAAAAAGATTTAGCAAAATCAGGCAGAAGTGAATGAGGTGATGGCGCCATCTGCTGCTTTATATTATGAATTTCAAGGCAAATTAGAGGAAGTTATTCTGTTTTATTCACTTGTGAGTAAAACTGAAGCGTTTCTGCACGGTGGACCTGACTCATAATAAAAACGTGACTTTCACTCTGCTTAAAGGCATCTGTATTACTTTATTCCTAAGAAATTGTAGTTGTTGGGAGTTAATCTGTTGTGAGCAGCCGTTGGATTCCTTCAAAAATAACCACATATGTTTACTATACTTTTAATTTTCAATATGTCATAAGTTCCTGGAGAGCAGGAAACTTGTCTTGTTCACTACAAATTCCCGGCATCTAGAGTAGCGCTTCACATATTAAATGAATGAATAAAATTGTACATATGTAGTTGTTTTTAATTTGTTTGTTTTCTTCCTACACACGAGACTGTAAGGACCCTAAGGATAGGCTCTCTGTATGTTAATTACTGCCTACTCTGTTAGGACTAAAGAAAGAAAGCATCTGAGTGAGAGTTGTTAAATAAGTGAATGTGTAAACCCAAAAAAGTGAGAAAAATTTCTAATCCACATCTCTGTCACAGCAAATTAGAATAACTTGGAGAAAGCAAAATATCCTGATACTGTTATTTTGATATTTAGGTTACTGAGGTATATAAGCAGGTGTTTTAAAATTATATATTAGGCATCCTACTTCATTTCCAATATATAACCTACATGCTTAATAAGATGGGCATAATATTGAGAAAAAGTTGTCTATTTATATATTTTTTAATGTTTGGAGTCTGTTGTAAATAAGTAAAAGACTTAGTGCTTAGAAGCATATCCCAGAAAAGAGCTTAGCAAACACATATATGTTTGTGAATATATTCAGGTTCCTGCTATCTGTCTTATAGGATGCTTTACTAAGCCTAAATTATGTATATTCTCTAAGAGTAGAATTATAAATCATCTGTCAGCTGTGCTCTTAATGGGGTAAAGAACTAGGGAAGAGCTGAGGCGTGTGGCTCTTCACTGGAGTATGATGTGGACCACTAAGTTTAATGGGTTCTACAAACGGCCAATTTAATAATTTTCAAAGCCACTGAGATTTCCTTATGGCTCAGGTACATGTCAAATACCTAATACTCCTACTTAAAATTCTATGCTTTTGCAACTGTGCAAATGCTCAGGACCATGTACTTCTCTCTCATTTTTAAAATTTGCTCCCAGGAAACGAGTAGTTCATGAACTTTCTGGTTCATGGCATCCTTCATGGGTTAATACCTTGCACATCACTGGGATCAGGATGACTGATCATGGAGGGGATTTTGGAAGTAAATATAGGTGCAAAGAAGGTACATTTGGAGACATTAAGGTATAAAGATCAGATATTTTAAATTTGCTCATTTTACTTGCTAAGATTTAAAAACGTGAACAATAGATGCAGGAAAGCATACCTATTCTGCTCATCTTTCCAAACCAGAACAGCCTAACTCTGTGAAATACTCTAAGATAATTCGGTATTTTAAATAATATTCACTTATATACCATCTATTCTGTAATAGAATACCATCTATGCTCATTGACCCAAATGCCCTGCAAGCACTAATAAACTCAGAAAATCTCTACAAAGAAGAAACTGAAGAAATGCTGAACAATACTCTTTATGGTTCACGAAACAAGAGGCAAGTCAGGAGGTATTCCACAGGACATTATTTCAACAACAACAGCAAAAAAGAATCCTAAACAATGTTTATAAACACCATTAAACCTAAGTTAAGGAGTTATTTGGTCAATTTGCTGTATGAGATTAAGAACCTACTACCAAAAACAGAAACACTCGTAGGACACTATAAATAGAAGGAAAAAATGAACTAATAGAATAGTTAACATTTCTTGAACTCTAACCAAATCCTAGGCACTACATGAATTATTATATAAACATTATCCCATTAAATCCTCATATATCTATGACCTACTAGAAATAAAATGAAGATCTATGAGCTACTAGTGTTATTCTTATCTTTCAGTTAAGGTAATCAAGCTAATAAAGATGTTGAGTAACTTTCCTTAGATAACAGAGATGTAAAAAACTGGGATTTGAACTCAGATAGTCCAAATTCAGAGTTCATTCCCTTAATGAGAAATAAACATGGCCTAAACAGTAAGTTATTTACATCAGGGGTCAGCAGACTCTTTCACCAAGGGATGAGAGAATAAATATTTCAGACTCTGTGAGTCACTTACAGTCTCTTCTGCATATTTGTTTTAATAACACTTTAAAAATGTAGAAACCAGTCTTGGCTTTCAGGGCATACATAAATAGACTGCAGGCCAAGGCTGTAGTTGTAGCCCTCGTTTAAATAGTAACAAGCAAGGATTAGAATATTTATGTCTTTGGGATCAAGAAGCAGTCTATAAACTGAGAGATATATCCCCAAGATAGATCAGATTAAGGCAGTTTCCTCCAAACCTAAGGTTTAGGAAGACAAGTTGCCAACGTCCAGAAGAATTGGAGACAGAAATAGTAAAAGTGACTGAACAATGACTCATTGGCAATGTCAGCTTGGCTAGAGGAGATAGCTCTGGGGCTTCCCTGGTGGCGCAGTGGTTGAGAGTCCGCCTGCCGATGCAGGGGACACGGGTTCGTGCCCCGGTCCCGGAAGATCCCACATGTCGCGGAGCGGCTGGGCCTGTGAGCCATGGCCACTGAGCCTGCGCGTCCGGAGCCTGTGCTCCGCAACGGGAGAGGCCACAACAGTGAGAGGCCCGTGTAATGCAAAAACAAATACCCAAAGAAAGACACAAGACCAGAAAGAAATACATTCCTTACAGAAGGCCTAAGATTGAGCTAGATCGCCCAGATTTCTGATATTCACCTCCACACTTCACCCATGAGACCCAGAAGAACATAATCATCCATTGTCCTTTGGGTCAACACTCACAGGAATCTCCCTAAGCAGTCCAGGACTTGGTGGTGAGCTCTACAAGTCCTATAGTTCCTTCAAACACACATAGTTGCAAAAATCCTAAGCCAAATTTTAGCAGATCTAATCCAGTGATATATTAAAATTATAATACATCTCGAGAATGTTAAAAAACTAAAAAGAGAAAAGAAAAACTATATGATCAACAGATATAGGAAAAGTATTAGACAAATCAATACCCGTTTCTGATAAAACCTCTCAGTATTCTAAGAACAAAAGGAAAATTTCTCAAACTGATAATATTCATCTATGAAAAATATACAGTTAACACCTTAGTTAATGGTATAACATTGACTTATTCCCAAGATCAAGAACAAAATAAGAATTTGCACTCTCACCATTTTTATTCAGTATTGTACTGGAGGTTCTAGTCTATGAAATCAGGCAAGGAAAAGAAATAAAAATCATCCAGAAAGGAAAAAATAAAAATATTTTTATTTTCAGATGACATGATTATGTATGAGGAAAATCCAATGAAATACACACACACACCACACACACACAAACACACACACAGACTTACTAGAAGAAATAAGTGAGCTTATCAAGGTTTCAGGATATAAGGTTAATATAAAAAACTATTATAATTCTATACAATAGCAAAGGACATTGGAAATAAAAACTACAATGATAACAGTACCGTCTACAGTAGCATAAAAAATGTGAAATACATGATGATAATCTAATAAAATATGTGAAACATCTATACAGAGAAAATTACAAAACATCACATTAAGAAAATCCATAAGTTGAACAAATCAGTATTTTAAAGAATTCAATTTCCCCCAATTATCTATAGATTCAGTGAAATCACATTCAAAATTTCAAAAAGTTTTTTAGAAATTGACAAGGCAATTCAAAAATTAAGACAGAAATGCAAAGACATAGATTAACCAAAACAACATTAAAGAACTACCTCCATGTGATTTCAAGATATATTATAAAACTACAGAATCCAAAATATCGTAATGGTGTTATGCACAAAGAATACACAAATAGATCGCTGGAACAGAGCAGAGTCCAGAAATAGACCCAGACATGTATGGATAATTGTTGACAAAAGTGCAAAGGCAATGTAGTGAAGAAAGAATAGTCTTTTCAGCAAATGTTGCAAAAGCAATTGAATATCCACATGCAAAAAGGAAAAGAAAAAGAACTTCCATACATCCATACGTGACTTACAAATTATCCCCCCAAAAGTTAAAGATTGCCACGTAAAATCTGAAACTATAAAATGTCTAGAAGAAAACATAGCAGAAAAATTTTTGTGACCTTGAGTTAGGCAACAAGTTCTTAGAAACAACAATAGAAACAGGAAAATGGACTTCACTGAAGACTGGCAGGGGGGCTTGGAACAAGCTAGGTGAAAAAATAAATATACAGAGAATGAAAACTTTTGCTATCAAGGTGTCAAGCAGCTGGGCCCCAGTCTCTGCTAAGGAGTTCTGCACTTTAGCTAGTAACAGGAAGTTCTCAGGGCTTTTATGGTTTGCACCTAAGTGACGAAGTATAGCTTAATTTTGAGAAGAAAATTCAAAGGTCTTCTCCCCCTTTTCTTCCAGAGCCTTCACGTTCACTGTACTCTCAATAGGTTCGCCTTCTTCTGACATATACTGAATGCAGTTAAAATGCAGTTTTCAGCAAAAACAGCTCCCCTTTGTATATATGCACAGGTGCCTGAAGAATACATCTGGAAGGCAGCTCCCTGGAGTCTAAACCTGCAGGCAGGGAGAAAAACAAATTTAGATTTACTGCCACCTTGTGTCAGGCACTTAGCCTTGTCTTAAAGCTTCAAGTCAGCAATAAACGTGAGAAGGAAAATTTAAGAGAAGATCTGAATGGGTAAACGGGCAAGTCCCTGTGTGAGAGAGCTGGGGAGAGAGATTCAGAAATTCCCCAAGCTTCTTTCCAGCAAGAAGAGGACATTGTGTGGAATGTGGCAGTAACTTCACTAGTAGGTTCAGCAAAGAATAGGAAACTTACAAGCGGGGCATCAAAGGAGAACCATCCTCCCAGAGCCATGAGTAGTTGGGTTTCTTCAGAGACAGCCCCATCCAGAATGGGAAACTGGAATGGGCGATTGCTTGCTGGATGAATTCCTGTGGGAAGTTACGTTTCTGAGTTGATGAAAGAGTCGATGTGGACTTTTTAGATTAGATTCACAAAACGAAAGAACCCAAAGAACTCTTAGACATCCTCTTGATAGCTTTACAGGAATGTCTACTGGAGCCTAGAGATAACTTCATAACCTGTCCATCCAAGGTAACCAGTGGCAAAGCCTAGGCTAGAAAACAGGTACATATTCTGATTCTCAAGGAGGGCCTTAACCTGATCTATTTCCCTGTAAACCAATATTCCAGCCCAACACACATCCATTAAAAACTCACCAGATCATCTGAGCTATTAATCTTCAGCATGTGGGCATCCAAAGACAAGCAGTTCTCCCGGCTTTTTTCCCAATTAGATGGGCCAGAGGAAAATTGGTAACAGTTTTCTTCATGCCAGAGCCAGTCTTGGGGACAAGGACCTAGGAAATGTAATATACCTAATTAGTGAGTTGTGCCTGAGTAAAAATATTTCTACAATTCTTAAATCAATTCACCTCTCAGGACTCTCACATGCTACCGTCTCTTCTTAATTAGAATTATACCCAGACTCTGCAAATACCTAAATAGCCTAGAGTCTTTATTGCTCCATTTTTTGGAGGAAAAAGAAATGAAGCATTCTGATTTTAGAAAACTCAATTAAAAAGCAAGGCTGTTAAAAAGCAAAGCTTGAGCTGGGATGTAATTTTAGAATCTGATCTATTTTTAAAAAGTTATGTTTGGAATCATGGAAGTGAGAGTTGGGGGATGAATATGTAATAGCTATTCTGCTACTAAAAAAGAGATGCTTATATATTTTAAAACTTCAGGTCTTTGAATGATGGATTTGGGCTTAGATACTGTGCCTCCTGATTCTGGACATGTAGCCCTATGTGGCTCATGAGTACTTGAATTACGGCTAGTCTGCATTGAGATGATGTTCTGTAAGTGTAAAATACACCCCTGATTCTGAAAACTTACTATGAAAAAAAGAATATAAAATATCCCATTAATAATATTTATACTGATTAGAGTCAAAATAATATTTCAATATTGGGTTAAATATGTCACTAAAATTAATTTCATCTGTGTATTTTTCATGTTCACTGTGATTACTAGGAAATTTAATGTTGCATATGTGGCACACACTGTATTTCTTTTGGACAGAACTGTTCTAGGGAAAACAGTATATTGGTGCAAAGAGAGCATCTCAATTTAAATAAGATTTCAGAAAGTAGGGGAAAGTTTTCAGCAGAAAGTTCCCAGAGTCCAAAAAACTCAACTCAGGGCTTAGGCAATAGGCAAAATATGTGTTTTACAGATATTTTAAATGATCCCCAAATCCTCTTTCTCCTCCCCATTCTTCTCCCCTTCATCATCATCATCCCTTCTGTGTGTTACTAACACTTGGAATCTCTTTACTGGGGAACAAAGCCCTTCGTTCTATGCTGTGACCAAAAAACAAACAAACAAACCTCAAATCCTTGAGCAAGGCAACATTTTAATTTCAATTTTCATTGTGGCATAAAACCATCAGATGATTTTGTAAGAACAGGCTTTATCAGAGAGGAGGGAAGTAGAAGGGACTGAACTATGAAAGAAGAAAGTGCATGAGGAAGGGCATACATAAGCCCGGATTGAAAGCAAAGGATGCAAGCTTCCTAACTTATTAATTTGCCTAGTCCTGTCTTACTATGTCAAAGGAAAGAGTATATTGGTTTTCCTGAACTAAAAGAAAGGTCTAGGTAGGTTTTCCAAGCCATGAAAAAGTGAAAAAGATGAATGTTAAAATGTGGCATTCAAACCACCTGTATGTCCTTTAATTATCATTATTTTTTTATTTAACAAACACAATAACCACTGTGTTAACCAACGTGCCAAAAATGGCTGGCAGTAATTTTTATGTATTGGCTCATTTGATCCTCATAACCACAGTATGTAAGAGTTAGGTTAATTTTCTTCATTTGAAAGATAGAGAAAATGGGACTTTGAACATAAGCAGTCTAACGCTAGCATCTGTGTGTTTAATCACGATATTACACCACCTCTCAAACTCCTGAGTTTGAATTAACTGAGGAAATATTTCTTGATGCCCCCTCAAGATATTTCGATACAGGGTTTTGGGGTAAATCTGGAATTTGCCACTTTTAACAAGCTACTTAGGTGATAATTTTGTACACGAAGTGTTGAGAACCACCACTAATTCAGGTGCTAAAATGTAGTCTGTTACTTTGAAGACTCTATCTTTCTAGCTGGCTGACCTCAAGCAAATCACATATGCCAATTTCTCAGCGTCTTGCCCTATTCATACATATACCGAGGACCACAGACTGGTTAGTAAGAAAGATAAAACTTGTCTCAAACTTGAGAAAACTGGCATAGTTTTTTTGCATAGTATTTTATTATTAATGTTTTTGAGAATCTTCTCAAAGCTGCTTGATGAACAGCAGTGCTTTGTTTGGCATCTCTACTAATTGACCTTTATCTGACACTGCCAAGGAATGAAAACACGTTACTTGGTGTATCTGCTACAAAAGACATATCACCTTTTATTTTTGATTAGTTGTCCACACTTGGCATCTCTGGGATACGAGTCTGAACAATCTTGACATAATTTTACTCCCATACAACTGATAAAAACAAGACTATTTTACAGCCCCACCTGTGAAATAAACCATTTTTGGTATGTAGCTATGTCTGCTTATATAAACATTCCTGTCCTTGATATGTTAGCCTCCTTCCTTTAAGCCTTCTTTGAGATGGGTTTATTTCCTAAACAGCTCTTTCCTTAAAGAGATTCAATATATGTTTGACACTTGCTAAAAAATCAGCTTGTCTATAAACGTCTGCTAATTTTGGAAATTTAAATAACCCTGTACATACTGAAGGGATTTATAAACTGCAAAACTTTATACAAAACTACTTATCGTTATTATCATTTAACTTACCTGGGTTTCATCTATAAAATAAATGGATGGGTACCTCTAAACTGTTACTTTATAATCTTTATTCAACAAAACTACGTGGTTGAGATTAAGGTGAGCTGTACAAGCAAGAAGCTGCAGAAATCTCTGTTTATTAGTGGCACTTAGTTATTAATGCCAAGAAAGCAACGTACCGCTGAAAGTGACTTTTTCACACTTTCAAATTCTCCCCATGATTAAAAGCACATACCTGATTTAACTATACGTTGTAGAAAAACTATACTAACTGTACAGATCACTTCTGTAATATTGAGTTCAGATTATTATCTCCATGTTATAAATGTTTCTATCTGCCTCCTAGATTCTGAGCTCACCTAGTCAGCTGAGATCAACTCAGTTCTTCTCATATACATTGACTTCCTGGGTCTCTCATAACTTTGTCTAATTTGAACTATCTACTTAACACTTACAAGCCAGCTCACCTCTATTGATTCAATTTACATTGATGTAATACACTTTATGAGAAACAGTCCCATAGAATAATGCTAATGAAGAGGAAGGGGTCCCCAGGACAAAGGAGACCCCTTAGGAAAAGAAATCAATGATTAAGACACATTGGAATGGAAAGAGGGAAGAATCTGTGCAAAGGGTAAAGGTGAGGGATTTCTTCCAGAAAAATCTCAAAATGAGAAAGTTATAGAGAATGCTCTTGTGAGGCAGGAAATCCACCAAAAAGTATGCTTGATTGAATCAGATTAACTCAAGAATTTGGCACGGGATAGGGTGAGGATGACAAAAAGAGAGGACTTCTGGTGTAGAACATGATGAACAAAAAAGGATACATATATCAATATGCCAATTTTGTGCCTAGAGATATTTCCAAAAAATGTTAAGATTTACAGAGATGCTTCCACTGTCTCTCTTCACCCCTCCCTCCCTCATACCTGGATAGTTTGCTGCTTTTTTCAGAGCTTCTTGGAGATTCAGGTTCTGGTGGTGAAGTTCCATTAGTTTCTTGGACTTTTCATCCAGCTTGTGGGCAAGGGTTTCTATCATTTCTTTGAGTTCCCTTTGTGACTCCTGGGAAGATTTTTCTGTCTGGTGCTGGGCTGAAATCTGTCCCTCCAGGATATCTTCCTGGTGAGTAAGGTTTGCTTGCTGTTGCTTTAGATCAGACACCTGGGATACTAAACCAGAATTGAATTAAGACTCCATTTCCAACCCCAGTAAAAATTCCTCCACAGGATTTTGAGGAAATCAAAGAACTGAATCAAACCATTTGTTTTGACAACAAACTGCTGCAAAATGACCCATATTTATTCAGGAGTTACAGATTTGGAAATTACTTGATATTCATGCAATATTTTTTGAATGTGAGGAACTGTCACAGATACTTGTGATTTAAAAAAATAAGACAGGATTTTACTCGGTGTTGAGAGTTACACACAAGTTAAAAGGAATCACAGGATAAGTCTTATACGAGTGGCACAAATAAAATATAGACAATCTAAGATAGTCAGACACAAACCAGACTCAGTGACTATTAGTAGCACTTGTCATTAGTGACTTACTCTAGTTGTGTCTTAATTCCTCTGCCCTTTCTCTACCCTTCCACATTTCCTGATTTTAGTTAAAAACTGTGACACTCACCCCGTTTTTTTTTTTTTTTTCTTTTTTCTTTTTTTTTTCACCCCGTTTTTGAGAGACCCTCCCACGGAATTTTTTTAAGCTGCTAACACAAGAGTCTGAAAACATATTTTTCAGTTTTAGTTTGTTATTTTTTTGTTTGGTTTTTGGTTTTGGTTTTTTTGTTTTGCTTTTTTAGGAAGGGTGGAGATGAAAGGAAAGTTGTGAAATCAAGCAGGCAACAAATGTTAAGGGTCCAATGTCTCAGTTCTAGAAGCTTGACGGTTCAGTACAAAGTAGACCTCTTGGGTTGAAAGCCAGATTTGACCGTGTTGCAAAGTGGTCCAAGCCTCAGAGGAAGACTCTTCCAATGACTATCTCTGAGTCAAGGGCCCTTCTCCCAGATCAGTAGGAAAAGTTTTATAGATTGAAAGTGTTCATAGATTGAAAACATAAGCTGTTTGAGACCTTAAACAACCGAGAAACAAATTAGCACTTCAAAGGCCTTAGTAACCTGGATTCTAGGACACTAGAGAGCCTAGGACTCTAGGATTCTAGAGATAAATAACTCAGATCTATGATCTAAATACATAGGCGTATTAGATGGATGGTCAACACCATTTTCCTTCTTTCTTAGCCATTTTCATCTTTCCTTTCATTTCTTTTGCTCTCAACATCCCCTCTTTCCTAAATGGCCGTATTATAAATTTGAAGAATGTTTTGTTTTAAAGGTTTTATTTATGAAGACTGTATTTCTGGGTTCTTAACTTTAGATTGGTATTTAATCATCTCTATTAAAACTCAGCATGAACTAAATGAAGTTTCTTGTACTTTTGGGTCCCTCGGGTGACCTTGTGGATTAGTAACTTCAAATTATTTTCTTCCTCATTATTCTGGGAATTAAATAGGCTTTATCCATGAAGTTATGAAAACAAAACCAAACAAAAACCTACCATTCATAATCTTCATCCCATGCCTCCACCTATTTGAGGGAAGAGCACAATATACCCATTCATCTTCCCACTCACTCTGAAAACAATTTGTCTAAAATGTATGTAAATCAAGGCTGTTTATAGCTGTTATGAAACCAACAAATAAACCATAAGTTCTCATTTTTTGTTCGCCATCTTTTCCTGGCTTCAGACTTACATTGGATTATCAGCAATATAACGGTCACCAGTAACCCCAGACAAAGGATCCCTAGAGCCATAGCAGCAAGGTACCACCTCCGAGAGGAAAGAAAACGAAGACCTAAAGTGACAGAGGATAGATTCAGAAAGACAAAAATGATGGAGGCAAGGGATCAAACAATTCTTTGGATACTGGCTGTACCTGGTGCTTTGCATTACTTACCTCTAGTATTCCCAATGGCTTTGCAAATAATTCATTATTCACGTTTACAGTTGCGAACTATGTACAGTTAAAGAATTTAAGTCATTTACCTATGGTCACGCAGCTAACAGCGTTAGGAGCCAGGATTCGATACCAGATATTTGCCTCCAAATCTAGAATCTAAAGCTAATGCTTTGTCTGCTGTCCCCACAGTGAGTCTTCAAGAAACTCTCAGCCCAGCTTGGTTAGATTAACTTCCTCCACAGGGTAGAGAGCCTGATGTTTTTAATATGGACCATGTGTATGTACGCGCACGTGTGCACACACACACGCACGCTCGCATGCACGCTCACACACACAACAAACACATGCACACACGCACACATGCATGTGCACACGAACACGCAGTTATAAGTAACATACCATACACGAATGTCAGATATCAAGCAAATAAGCCTTTAGTCAGTTAACCAACTGAGAAAACCTCAAAGAACTAATACATAATTTTGTGTTATTCAATTTTTATTTGGAACTGGGGTTATTGACCAAAGAAAAATAGGAATGAAATCTCAATATTCACTTGATTCATATTAAAATCATGTCCTATACTCACACCAGCTGTGGCCTTCTTGTTACAAGAGAAAAATTCACCATTATTATAAAAATAAAAAAATCATGTAGCTCACAGGTGTACGAATATTTTATTATGAGGTCCACCACTTAAAAAGCACAGCGGGAAAACATTTCATGTAATGGATTTGGACTCCTCATCTTGTAAGATAAACAAATAAGGCACTGATAGTGTTATCCTCTATATGCAAACAAGGAAACTGACCATTCAGTGACTTGCCTAAGATCACACAAATGTTAAGATCCAAACATAGATCTTTAATCCAACTGTCAGTAGCTATGTGACTTAGAACGTCACATCACAAAACTTCCAGCATGAATGTATGATGATCCAAATCAATCAGTGGTCAAATATATGCACAGAGTTCTCATGTGTCAGAAGCACTCCTAATAGACTCTACAGATGATCCAAACAAAATTGAAATTCTGACAGGAAGCAATATGGTCTGTTCCCTGATTCAAAAGTTATTAAGCTCCTAGAAATGTGTATGGCAAGTTGGCAGAAAAGAAGTTGAAGACAGTTTTGTGTCTTGCAAATAATTGCCCAATCCTAGCCTTGGAGGCAAATATCTGAGTAAATCTTTCAATCAACGTTTCTCTCTGGTCAATATTCATTCCGTCTTATAGATCAATCCTAGCTCTACCACTTACTAGCCACATAAAACTGGGTAATTTAGTTAATCCTCCCAATCCCTAGTTAGTCCTCTGTAAAAGGGAGATAAGCTTAGTCCTAATCTCAAGGTGTGAAGATTTAGAGAAATAATGCATGTAAAGTGAATATCATAGAAAATAGCCTATAGCAAATGTTCAATAAAAGTTAGCTATCACCCTCTACTACAGCATCATTCACACCAAGTTAGTTTATTCGTCAACATCATCTTCGTTATCACCATTACATCTGACTTGTTTTTCCTTTAAGTAAAATTGCTATTAACTCTTTAACATTTTCCCACACTCAGGTGTTGTAGTCCTCTAATCCTATATCCAGTTAGTTTACATTTCTAACCTAATTCTGTCCCTGTACATATTTATCCACCCCTAGTACCTTTGTCTCTCTCTCCATTTGGCTTCTGATCCAGTTGACCCTTCATACTCTGGCTCTTGAGGTCATCAAAAGTCATTTCCAAATTTATTCCAAGAATGAGAGAGTGAAGCAGTCAAGGACTTCTACAAAGTAAAAATGTGTGAGCTCCTGCTGGAGTGTTTAAATAGCTACTGATATCTAGTAGAATGACTCAATCATTGGTAGGAGGAAGGAGAGGCTTTGCTTCATACTGGGAAGTTGGCTGACGCAAATTCTTGGGTTATGTCTATTGCAGGAGGGGAAAGTGGTGATTCTGATAATGTTTCAGGATATTTCACTAAGTAATTTATGAAAAGGAAAACTGTATTTTCCATGAGCCTTAGAGGAGAGGAATTTGTACCCACGCTTCAGATATGGAAACTGAAATTTAAAAGGGTAATTCACAGTAAATTTGTGGAAGAGTGTGCATTAGACCAGATTGCTTTATGCCAATATCCATATTTGTTTATTTCACTGTAGCAGACTGTCTCTATACTGAGTCTTTCATAAGTCTCACATTTTCCTTTTAAATTTTGACTTTTTTTCATCAGCTATAGACTTAGGAATTTGGGGATTAATCACTTATGACTCATCTCTCTAGCCATGATAACCCAAGTAATTTTAGAACTTAGTTAGGAGTGCTATTTCATACAGTGGCAGTATAACATAGCAGCAGAGAGAACTTTGGAGCCAGATGGAGATTGTTTCATATCCTTCCTTTGCTATTCCCTTGGTCTCTAATCTTGGGGAATGTCTTTGGCTATACATTAGGACATTATAATGTCCACTTGATAATGTTGATAATGCTGCTATAGGTGTTCAAATGAGATATTGGGTGAAAATGCTAAGCTTTGTACTTCAAACATAATAAGAAATCAATAAATGGTAGTTATTAATATTAGCAGTAGTAATACTCAACACAGTGGAATTGCTCATCAAAGAATACATTTTATATGTTTGCCTTGAGTCACAAAGACTTCTATGCGATCCCAGTAAAGATACTACATGTATTCACTGATAGAATTCTCACCTATTTTTCCCTCACAACCTCATAACCAGAAAAAAAAAAATCTTGTTGCAGTTATACATGCTTTTTAAAAAAATCCTTATCTATTAGAGATATCTTCTGAAGTATTTATGGGCAAAAATGATATGATAGCTAGTATTTGCTTTAAACTATACCAGGAGAAAAACAAAAAGAAGGGAATACATAAAAGATTGCACAAAAATATGTAAATAAACAAAATCTAGGAAACTATTAGGAAAATGAATAGTTTTCACCAGTAATAATTTTTCACCAAAATGAAAGCCTAATTAGGATTCCATTTCTCTCCTCCTCCCTAAATTTTTTTTATTCCCCTTTTCTGTGCAGGGTATCTGAGGCCAAACTGAAAACAGTTGATCATTCAAAGTGCTACTCTATGAGACAGATCACAAAGGAAGCTCAGCAACTCACAAATATATCCTAGTCCAATCAGCTTGTAACAAATCAATGTTACTTACCTTTATCCCTCAAACCCCACACCACCTCCCTTGATTGTGAGTGCCAGGAAGCAAGATTAGATACATAACTGCATTTGCCATGGGGACTTTCACATAAATAAGATCTCAGGAAATTATTTTAATGATGATTAATAAATACTGAAATGATACCACAGTGAAGTGGACACTTCATCACTTCCCACAGCAACGCTGTTTCAGGTGCCATCAATATTCTAGTGGATTAAGATGAGACATATAGGTACCCTTGTTGAGGAAATGGACATGACACATATTTCTTGTGAGCCCATCACATCCTCATAGCTTTTTATGGGAAGAAGTATCTCAGAAGGATGCATATGTAGTTAAAATACCCAAAGAAAGGGGCTTCCCTGGTGGCGTGGTTGAGAGTCCACCTGCTGATGCAGGGGACAAGGGTGTAGTTAAAATACCCAAAGAAAGGGGCTTCCCTGGTGGCGCAGTGGTTGAGAGTCCGCCTGCCGATGCAGGGGACACGGGTTCGTGCCCCGGTCCCGGAAGATCCCACATGCCGCGGAGCGGCTGGGCCTGTGAGCCATGGCCACTGAGCCTGCGCGTCCGGAGCCTGTGCTCCGCAACGGGAGAGGCCACAACAGTGAGAGGCCCGTGTAATGCAAAAACAAATACCCAAAGAAAGACACAAGACCAGAAAGAAATACATTCCTTACAGAAGGCCTAAGATTGAGCTAGATCGCCCAGATTTCTGATATTCACCTCCACACTTCACCCATGAGACCCAGAAGAACATAATCATCCATTGTCCTTTGGGTCAACACTCACAGGAATCTCCCTAAGCAGTCCAGGACTTGGTGGTGAGCTCTACAAGTCCTATAGTTCCTTCAAACACAACTTTTTTTTCTTTAAAAAATCCTCTCACCTTAACACCTACAGGTCGGATTGTCATCATCAGTTTCTTATTCTCCCCTCATTTTATACACTCTAACATGCACTGTATTGATTTTCAACTTCATTAATGTTATTCCATTTCTCCAACTAAATTATAAGCCCTTTAAAAGTAAGGATAGATCCCCTTCTATTAAGGAAATCTCATTCTTTTCTACCACCCTAGCATACCATACTAATTGTGCCGATGTTCTACAGACAGTTGACAGTTAACACGAGATTCTTAATTGTGAAGACATCACCAGCATAAACTGGATTTTTAAACTACAAAGAAATCTAAGAAAAATCTATCTCAATTCTTTTATTTTGAGAAAGTGGAACTAAAGTCCCCCAAATTTAAGTGGTTTACTGAATATCTCTTTTCTACCTGATGCTAGACAAGAGCTCAGTTCACTGTTCTTTCAATTATACCAGATCATAAAAGACATAGGTGACTTCTTATAAGTGATATAATAAACGCAGTATGAATCTCTCTCAAAGGGTTCAGTGAGAGACTTTTCAGATCACCAAGGCAGAGCATATCCACTTCATAGTAGACTTTAAATGTGGCATGCAGTAGAGGATACCCACATCAGAGGCACCCTCAAATCTTTTCTTTATGTCCCTCCAAACAGAAGCTCACACGGAAGTGCCACAACATGGACTAGACCAGTCACCATCTTCTGGGTGATCTAGCCCCTCAACATGGCCATGTTTTGCCTTTTGCTATTCAAGCCTGTAGGTGTTAAGATATTCCTCTCTTTTTTTATTGTGGTAAAACTTAACATAAAATTTTTACCATTTTAGCCATTTTTAGGTGTACAGTTTCATGGCATTAAACACATTCACGTTGTTGTGCAACCATCACCACTGTCCATCTCCAGAACGTTTCTCATCTTCTCCAACTGAAACTCTGTATCCATTAAACAATAACTCCTGTGATGGTTGATTTTATGTGTCAACTTGACTGGGTCACAGCGTGCCCAGATATTTGGTCAAACATTCTTCTGAGTGTTTCTGCAGGGGGATTTTTGGATGAGATTTACCATTTTAGTCAGTAGAGTAAAGCAGATTTCTCCCCATGTGAGTGGGTTTCATCCAATCAGTTGAAAGCCTGAACAGAACAAAAAACTACCCTTTCTCCAAAAAAGAAAAAAATTCTCCAGGAGACAGCCTTTGGACTGGAACTGCACCATTGGCTCTCCTAGGTCTTGAGTCTGCCAGCCCACACTACAGATTTGGACTTGCCGGCCTCCATAATTAAATGAGTCAATTCCTTATAATAAATCCCTTTCTCTCTATATATACAAATTCTATTGTTTTCATGTCTCTGGAAAACCCTGACTAATACAACTCCCCATTCCCTTGTCCTCCCAGATCCTGGAAACCACCATCCTACTTTCTGCCTCTGTGAATTTGACTACTGCAGGGACCTCATACAAGTGAAAGCATATGATATTTGTCCTTTTGTGTCTGACTTATTTCACTTAGCATAATATCTTTAAGGTTCATCCACGTTGTGGTATGTGTCAGAATTTCCTTCCTTTTTAAGGTTGCATAATATACCACTCTATAGGTATACCACATTTTCTTTATCCATTCATTCACTGAGGGACATTTGGGTTTCTTCTGTTTTTGAAACATCCATGGGAATAATTTCTACAAGTTTTACGTGGCAGATAGCTGGACAGACTTGACAGGCCTTAAGTGGTTCTCATATCCCTGCTTGTGTAATCTTCACCTCTCGAGAGTGGGCGGGATCTGTGGCTTGGAGTGCAGCAGAGGTGATGTAATGTACGTGATCACATATATGTGGTTACATAAGGTGTAGTGCCTATCTCACTAAAGTCTGGATCTCTCCCTGTGCGCTCCCTCTCCCTCTCTCTCTCTCCCTGGCTGTATTTAAAGAAACAACTTACATGAATCTTACAGCCACAGAGAAATGAATTCTGCCTAGGGAAGCCCAGAAATGAATCCTTCCCCAGTTAAGCCTTTAGATGAGAATACAACTCAGCAGACACCTGGATGGTAGCCTTGTGAGACCTTAAGCAAGGGACCCAAATAAGCTGTGCCCACACTTCTGACCCGCAGATACTGTGAGATAAAAATGTGTGTCATTTTACATTGCTGCTTACATAATTTGTAGTAATGTGTTACATGGTGTATAAAGTTAATAATTCTGTGATAATCTTAATCCTCCTGTTTTGTAAAATTCCTTAAATCTAATCCTATCACTGACTTTCAGTGCCTCTGAGTTTCCCACTCAATACTTAGGCTGCTTAAAAAAAATGAAAAAAAAAAAAAATCTAGGACTTCCCTGGCAGTCCAGCAGTTAAGATTCTGAGCTCCCACTGCAGGGGTACAGGTTCTATCTGTAGTCTGGGAGCTAAATCCCACCTGTTGTGTGGTACGGCCAAAAAAATACTTAGGCTGCAATCCTGGTTCATAAAGTAGAGACATTATTATTTTATGTCTTCCTAGTGGAGCTTCCAGTAGATGCAAGATAAAACTGGTTTCTCCTGCCATATTATCTATTTTTGAAGCCATGGCCGTGGTCCAACCCACTGTCAGCTCTTCATAACTCACTCTTGGTGGCTCAGAGTAATAATAGTCCTAGCCTCTATTTCATTGAAGCACAGAGAGGAAGGGAACCTGCAG